ATACTGTTTACAAAATATTTTACTCTTTTCAAATCTTCTAATTACCCTTTTCTCTATCCATCCTAATCTTTTTTTCTTTATTGATTAAGGTATTATATATGTGTCCTTATCCCCCCATTGCCTCCACCCCCCCATCCCACTCATGCCCTCACCCCCCTGGTGTGTGTGTCCATTGGTTATGCTTATATGCCTGCATACAAGTCCTTTTGTTGAACTCTCCCCCTTACCCCCACCCTCCCCTACCTTCCCTCTGAAGTTTGAGCATCTGATCGATGCTTCTCTGTCTCTAGATCTCTTTTCGTTCATCAGTTCATGTGTTCATTATATTCCACAAATGAGTGAGATCATGTGATATTTATCTTTATCTGACTTATTTTGCTTAGCATAATGCTCTCCAGGTCCATCCATGATGTTACAAATGGTAGGAGTTCCTTCCTTTTTATAGCAGCATAGTATTCCATTGTGTAGATGTATCACAGTTTTTTAATCCACTCATCTGCTGATGGGCATTTAGGCTGTTTCCAAATCTTAGCTATTGTAAATTGTGCTGCTATGAACATAAGGATGCATATATCCTTTCTGATTGGTGTTTCTAGTTTCTTGGGATATATTCCTAGAAGTGGGATCACTGGGTCAAATGGGAGTTCCATTTTTATTTTTTGAGGAAACTCCATACTGTTCTACACAGCGGCTGCACCAGTCTGCATTCCCACCAGCAGGGCACGAGGGTTCCTTTTTTTTCACATCCTCGCCAGCACTTGTCATTTGTGGATTTGATGATAGCCATTTTGACAGGTGTGAGATGGTACCTCATTGTCGTTTTGATATGCATCTCTCGGACGATTAGTGACTTTGAGCATGCTTTCATATGTTTCTTGGCCATCCTTATGTCCTCTTTCGAAAAGTATCTATTTAAGTCCATTGCCCATTTTTTGATTGGGGTGTTTATCTTCCTTGTGTTAAGTTGTGTGAGTTCCCTGTAAATGTTGGAGATTAAACCCTTATTGGAGATAACATTGGCAAGTATGTTCTCCCATGCCATGGGTTTTCTTGTTTTGTTGATGGTTTCCTTTGCTGTGCAGAAGCTTTTTATTTTGATGTAGTCCCATTTGTTTATTTTCTCTTTAGTTTCCATTGCCCTAGGAGCTGTATCAGTGAAGATACTGCTTCGGCATATGTCTAAGATTTCACTGCCTGTGGACTCCTCTAAGATTTTTATGGTTTCCCATCTTACGTTTAAGTCCTTTATCCATTTTGAGTTTATTTTTGTGAATGGTGTAAGTTGGTGGTCTAGTTTCTTTTTTTTTTTTGCATGTATCTGTCCAACAAAATTCTAGGAAATCAGATTCAGCATTACATCAGAAAGATGATACACTGTGACCAAGTAGGACTTATCCCGGGGATGCAAGGATGGTACAATATCCGTAAATCAATAAACATGATACATCATATAAACAAATTGAGAGATAAAAATCACATAGTCATATCAATTGATGCAGAAAAAGCATTTGACAAAATCCAACACCCTTTCTTGATAAAAACCCCCAGCAAATTGGGAATAGAGGGATCATACTTCAATATAATAAAAGTCTTATGTGACAAACCTACAGCCAACATCATACTCAGTGGGCAAAAACTACAACCATTTCACCTAAGAACAGGAAAAAGACAGGGATGATCACTTTGACCACTTCTGTTCAACATAGTGCAATTAGACAAGAAAAAGTAATAAAAGGTATCTAAATTGGGAAAGAAGACATAAAACTGTCATTCTCAGATGGCTTGATACAGTACATAGAAAACCCAAAGACTCCATCAAAAAATTATTAGTCTTAATAAATGAATTCAGCAATGTAGCAGGATACAAAATTAACACCTAGAAATCTATGGCATTTTTATATACCAATAGTGAACTTACAGAAAGAGAGATTAAAAAAACAATCCCATTTATCATTGCACCAAAAAAAATTAAGATACCTAGGAATAAACTTAACTAAGGAGGTAAAAGACCTGTACTCAGAAAACTACAGGACACTGAAAAAAGAGATAGAAGAAGACATAAACAGATGGAAGAACATACAGTGTTCATGGATTGATAGAATCAACACATTAAAATGTCCATACTATCCAAAGCAACCTGTAGATTCAATGCACTCCCCATTAAAATACCAACGGCATAGTTCACAGACCTAGAACAAACGCTCCAAAAATTTATCTGGAATAAAAAAAGGCCCTGAATAGCCACAGCAATCCTGAGAAAAGAACAAAGTAGGAGGGATCTCAATACCAGGTATCAAGCTGTATTACAAAGCCACTGTTCTCAAAATGGCCTGGTGTGACACAAGAACAGACATATAGATCAATGGAATAGAATAGAGAACCTAGAAATTGACCCAAACCACTGTGCTCAATTAATATTTGACAAAGGAGGCAAGAGCATACAATGGAGTCAAGACAGTCTAATCTTTTATTTACTTTTATTTCTAAATAATCATATATTCACAGGAGGTTGCAAAGAAATGTACAGGGAAGTCCTGTGCACCCTTCCTCAACCCTCCTTCAATATTGACATCTTGCACAATTATAGTACAATCAAGAAGTTGACATTGGTACAATGCATAGAGCTCATTCACTTTTCACCAGTTATACATGTACTGGTGTGTGTGTGTGTGTGTGTGTGTAGCTCTATGTGCCTTTGCATAGCCACAACTCCTTCCATAATCAAAATACAGAACTGTACCATCACCACAAGATTCTTTCATGCAACTACACCTATCCTTAACCTCTGGCAACCGCTAATGGTATTGTGCAATATGTATTTGGGGATTGAACTTGTTCACCCAGCATAATTCCCTTGAGACCCATCCAAGTTCTTTTACATGTATCTGTATTTTCCTTCTTTTTTTGATGAGCAATCTTCCAATGATATGGATGTACCACAGTTTAACTAATCACTTGTTGTATTTTATCTGAGTTGTTTCAAGTTTGCATTGTTACAAATAAAGCTGCTATGTTCATTTATGTGCAAGTTCCTATATGAAAATAACTCTTAATTTCTCTTGAATAAATGTGCAAGAATCAATTGCTAAATTGTATGGTAAGTCTATTTTTAGTTTTGATGGAAATTGCCAAAATATTTTCCAGAGTGGCTATATCATTTTACTTTCTCACCCACAATGTATGTGTGATTGTTTTTCCTACATCCTCACCAGCAGTTGATGTTATTACTATTTTTCATTTTAGCCATTTTTATATGTGGCTCATCATAGTTTTTCTGATCTTTTGAAACCTAAGTCAAGAGGTACCCCTATAGAGCCTTTTCTAACATCATCTGTAAGTCGATTACTCTCTCCTCTATGCCATTTCTGCTACTTCATTCATCACTGTATTTTAGTTATTTATTGACATAGTCTGACTCTTCCCTCTGTTCTGAGCCACATGAAGATAAGAACTGTGCCACATTCATCTTTGTTCCTGCAATATCTGGTACAGATTTATGCTGGACACACAGAGGGTGCTCAGTTAATGTCCAAACTGAGGGAAAGAATGAATGAGGAAAACCTTAGTCTTTCTTGCCTCCCATTCCTCTACATTACCTGTAAACCGTTTTTAGAACAGAAATCATTCCTTCCACTCTGTCTCACAGCAGCAACTAATAAGGTGCTGTGTACATGTAGATGTTCAATAAATGTTGGCTCACTATTCAGGTGGCTTATCATCCCTCTGCACCCAAGAGATAAGCACATGAAAGAGAGGGTAGGCCTGAGTATTCCTATATTGAGTATCATATGTCATAAGTTTTATAATATTCTTATAATCTCCACAATTACTCAATATTTGTCTGCATAGATGAGAAATCAAAACAAAACAGTCCTTTGAGTCAAAGAATGAGACTCTGCAGCTGAGCACTTTTCAATAGTTTCAATCCCCTTGTTACATATGAATTTGAGAGATCAGCATTTTATATCCCTGAATTCTTTTTGCAGTTTCAGAAGGATCTGGGATTTTTCTGTTTTTGCTGCACTGGTATAATTTGACGTGTTGACTATGAAGGGGTATTAACCCCAGCATTTTTAATCACTTTTTTACTCTGCTTTTTCTCAACTCTAAAGTATGTTAATTTGCACATGTTTATATGTCTCTGTGAGTTACTCAGCCCCTTGAGTACTGGTATATGTTTTGTCTGGGAACTAGATTGTAAGCCCCTTGAGAGCAGGGACCTTATAACTCCTAGGAATGTATTCTGGACATCGTCAGTGTTCAATTAATGGGAATACTGGAAACCTGACTAAGGTCATCTGTAACATTGACAACTTCCTTTTCTAACTTGAAAAAAAGTTGTTAAGTTGATTTGATAACCTTGAATGATTCTACAGAAAATTATGCTAATTTCTACCCACTACAATTTGTTCTTTAGTCTGCTTTCAGATTTATAGTTTTGGATCAGTTGTTGCAGTTCCCTTCCCTGTAATACTCTGGTTTACAAAGGAATTGGGGAGGGCTGAATATCATAACCCAGAAGTTCTTTAGCATAATAAAAAGTAAGCTAATAATGTTTATACTTTCAAAGCATGTAATTCTTTCTCCAGCCCCCAGTGATAACTAGGTGATCAACTCAAAGTATGTTGACAATCTTAATTATGAGAAATAATCCTTAATAACCAGTCAATATATATGTCTTATTTTCCCAGGTTGTAAAATAAAGTAATGTGTACACTGTGTACTATAACTGTTGAAGTTAAATTAATTTGAAAGTTTCAAGGAAGTCTGAGTTCTAAAACTCAGGACAAATTCGGTCCTTAGTGAGGATGGAGTTGGATAGAATTTTTCTGATTCATCCTTTTTAGATGGAAAGTGTGATGAGTTTGACAAGTTGTATTTTTTTCCTTCAATATTTCCTGACTCAACTATACCTCCTACTGGCTCCACCATCATCACCACCTCTAGAGCAAACTAACCTATCATTTTCTGACATTTTATATTCTTTCTCTTTTATACAGTGTACTAAAGGAGGTATATATGGCCTTTAATCCCAAAGCGGTGGTCTTACAGCTGGGAGCTGATACAATAGCTGGGGATCCCATGTGCTCCTTTAACATGACTCCAGTGGGAATTGGCAGGTGTCTTAAGTACATCCTTCAGTGGCAATTGGCAACACTCATTTTGGGAGGAGGTGAGTACAAAGGAAGGTCACCAGGAGAATTTGTTGACCTTCCTCCATATTTTATTTATTGACACTGAGGAAAACTTGACTTTCTTAGATTAGATAATATCAACCTGCCTGTGGTCCAGAAGCCTGATTCATTGAATTCTGCTACCTTCATAGTTCAGCATAAGGAAGTATTGATACACTTCTACTCAGTTTGGTGTATGCATTGACTCCTTGGCACTCCAATACAAAATGTTCAAAACATTTAAGTTAACAGTGACACCAGATCTTATTAAGAATAAGAGGCCCGGTGCATGAAAATCATGCACTTGGGGGGAAGGAGTCCCTCAGCCTGGATTGTGAGAGGGCGCAGGCCAGGCTGAGGGACCCCATCGGTGCAGAATGGAGGCTGGGGAGAGATGCGGGAGGTTGGCCAGCCGGGGAGGGACCACAGGAGGGCCTCAGGGCATGTCTGGCCCATCTTGCTCAGTCCTGATCAGCTAGACCCCAGCAGCAAGCTAACCTACAGGTTGGAGCATCTGACCCCTGGTGGTCAGTACATGTCATAGTGAGCGGTTGAATGGCCTTAGCATATCATTAGCATATTATGCTTTTATTGGTTGAACGGCCGACCGGATGGCCGGACACTTAGCGTATTAGGCTTTTAATATATAGGATAGAGAATGCTAACAGTGGATTTTGATCCATCTTCTTTCCGTGTAGTTTTGATTCCCAGTTCTAATAATAATCTTATATAAACATACCACTAAAATTATAACCCTACTCAAATATATGTAGTGAACACATGAATTCATTAAACCTAAGCTGAAATCAGGAATGACTTTTACCCCACAACATCCTAAAAAAAACATGGATTTGTACAATAAAGTAAAATTGAGAGATCTAAAGAGTCTATTGGACATTCTTGCCCTCAGTGTGTACTGATGTTATATATTACTTAACCAACAGAAGCTGAGTTTGTTCAATAGAAACATTTACACATTTGCGAAAGGCACCTATCACAACCTCAACTACCTTTGAAGATGCCTTGCTTAGAATCTTCTATCTATCTGGCAGAGTCTTTATTTTATTGGGTGAATGCATCAATGTGTTAAAATAACATGGTCAAGTTAGATTGAGCTTAAAATGTATGTATTATGGAACAGCTTATAGTTTGTGGTTCTGTCAGCCTGTTGTAAAAAATAAAGTTAGAAGAAACAATGGGAAGGCCTTATGAATGAGCATTCAATACAAATACACAAGCCTGGTCCTTTGGCAGCCTCGAACTCTAGAGGGATCAAAATTAAAGGTGCTTACAAGAGACAACCTCTTATAAAGAGCCAGAAAGAAATGTATCAACTTCAACTCAGGGAAAAAATAACATTGATAACTGCTGTGTGGCATATAACTTTCTTTACCAGCACAAAGAATGATTGTTATGATACAAGTATAGTTACAGGAAAAGAAAACAAAAGACCTTTCCACAACACATATCTGTGAAAATTCAACTTTTGTTTGAGGCTTCAACCTATACTTACCATTTTTAAGGCCTCTTAGCTTCTTCAGTCCAAAGTTTTGGCTTTTGAAAAATGTGTATTCCTGAAAATGCCTGTGCACAAGTGGAATTTTTAGAAAACATATTGCATGTACACTAGAGAGAACTATTACTTAAAACCTATAGTGATTCTTTTTTGAAATCAAATAATCATTCCCAATAAGTCAACCTTAGAAATTTAGATTTTTCACATCAGGAGTGTTTAAAGTAATACCTATACTATTTCACTTAAATTTTCAACCACCAATAATGCATAAACAGTTAGGGGAGGTGGCCATAGCCTCAAGCTTCAGTGGACCTTATTGAGGCCAAAAGACACATTCTAAAAGCCCCAGTATCCCTGACCTTTCAAGGAGTAAAAAGACTTAAGAAATGGATGACCATATGTCTCAATTTATACATGTTGTCCCAGTGTAATTATTTTTTAATATATTTTTATTGATTTCAGAGAGGAATGGAGAGGGAGAGAGAGATAGAAACATCAGTGATGAGAGAGAATCATTGATCAGCTGCCTCCTGTAAGTTCCACACTGGGGAACGAGCCCGCAACTTGGGAATGTGCCCTGACCAGGAATTGAACCTGTGACCTTCTGGTTCATAGGTCGATGCTCAACCACTGGGCCCCAGTGTAATTGTTAATAGTGTCCCCCTTTACCCTTAAAATTGTATTATTTTGGATGATAAATTTTATGATTACCCTACCTAAAATATACTAAATTCAATTTCCCTCAGGCTGCATTGAGGTTAGGAAATCATTCTTTTTTATCCTTACACTTTTGGAATTTAGCTAAAGGCCAGTATTCTATTGCTTGCATGGCAGAACACATCTATTCAGAACAAAAATACTCTGATTGTTAGCCTGTAGATATGGCTTCTGGGTGATTGACAGGACCTGACAAGATGGGTCAGAGTGTCAATCAACAGTCCCTTTCTCAGCTTACTTGATCTCTGCTACTAGGCCTGCATTTTATGGAAAAAAGGAATGATGATAATAAAATAAGGAAGTTTGTTTCTGTTAGCATTTTCCTTTTCTCTTCCCAGGATGTATCTAGAGCTACATCTGCCAATAGATTTAACATGCAAACTACATCCAGCAGTCATTTTATAGAATTGTTGCAAAATTCATCACAGAAACCTTCATGTTGGGTAGGTCATCTCAAGAGATCTAGGTTCCAGATATCTCATTCTTGCAGATTACTCTTGATGGAATTGAGGAGCTTAGAGTCCCCAGGTGCATATTTGTTCTGAAACTAGAACCTTTTTAATCTTTGTAGGCCTTGAACTTCCCAGTTCCACATTGTGCATGGTCTAACTGGTCTACTGAAGTCTGACTACCAGGTGGTTTAAAAATATAAGGGTATGTTTGGGTGCAATTCTGCAAGTTGAAATTGTCTTTTTAGCCCTTTTATTAAAACATTTTTCTCTCCTTCCTTACCCTCTTCCCTCTCCTGCTGTTTTGTGACTATTCTTTCCTAACTTCACAATTCTTGACGGAGACAGGAGGCTATAACCTTGCCAACACGGCTCGATGCTGGACATACTTGACCGGGGTCATCCTAGGGAAAACACTATCCTCTGAGATCCCAGATCATGAGGTAAGTAAGGCTCTGACAAGTCCTCTCTTCTTTAAGGGGAAGAGCTGAGTCATTCCACCTAATCAAAATCATGTCCTCACTACTCAATACTGTTTTGTTGAGAGACACTCTAATAACAATAACATACTGTCTTGGCAGAATAGTGGACTCTTGTTCCAAAATATCCAAGACCTTCTGCCTTTTTTACAAGAGACCTCAAAGGCCAACCAACTTTAATTTCTCAATTAATTACAGAGACTGTGGGAAGGGGTCACCTGTTCATACAAAGAATTCTTTGGAATATGGATATATTTTCATCCCCAACCTCAAAAAAGAAGTGGCAGTTTTCTAAGCTTGGATCTCATCTATCTTTAAAAAGTTCCATAGGCAGTATGTCGCACCTATGTTCTTTGGTGGTAGTCCTAATTTCTCAATTTTCTTTGGCTAATATAAACTTTAAGAAATACAGATCACCACAAAGACAGGGTTGGTGCTTTTCCAGTGATTAGTGGCACACAGAGGTTGGGGTAGGACCATTCAAAATGTGAACCATGTCATTTAAACCCTCACCATTTTCTTTAATCATGAGTTGAGCTTTACATTTTCCATAGCAAAATGCCTACTCTAGTTTTCCCAAAACAGGTTAATAGAAAGCTATCTGGAACCTGTGAGTGTGCTGACAATCCTTTACCCAAAGGTGTATCCCTTCTCTTCCCACCTATATCCATACCTGGCAGGAAGCATGTTATCACAGATCAGGATGTGTAGCTGCAGGCCTTAGACTGTGTGACTTTATAATAATAACTTTATAATAATCCACTTTCTCAAGCCAATTCCCAAGGTGTAGAGATGATACTTTGATTATAATGTTTTGATTCCTCCCAGAAACAGAAGCTGTGCACTTGGGAGCATTATGTTTTTGAAAGTTGGTATTATTTTTTTAAAAATTAGAAACAAACTAATTTTCTTACAATTTTCTTCTAACCAGAGATGAGGTATAATATGTATCTCAGAAAAGAAAACTCAGTATGTCTAGAATACAAATAGAAGGCAAGCTATAATTTGAGACAATTTGCTGGTGTCAGGGTTAATAGAAGTTTCTTTCCTTGACTTAACTTACCTTTATTCAGTACTTGGAAGCTTTATGAAATATAAAGGTAAGCAAATAAATGTAATTATTGTTCTTGCTGTGGGAATATCTCATATTGCATTATAACTTAAAGCACTGAGACTTTAAAAACTGATCAAGTTTTGTCAAAAAATAGTTTTAAGCATATAGAAGCCTGAATTAAGAATGTGTTCTGTTCCTAGGAAACAGTGTAAATCCATAGAGTCATCTGTCTTAAAAGGTTGATAACATTTTAATAAAGATGAATACTGCCTCTGATACCTGGAAAAGCAATGTGCCTCAATAGGTGTAAGTTTGGCCTTATAGATAGACATGCCCTGTCTTTATACTGACATATTCTCCCAGATTAAATGAGATCTAATGTATGCCAAGTGCCTAACACAGTTCTTGGAACATAATAGGCACATTTGACGTCTAAATTTTCTCCTTCCCCTTTGTATGCTTCTAACAACTTCTTATAATCAGACATTTATGACTTTGTGATTCATAAATTTGCCCAAATCTTTTTTGAATCCCTTCTATAATATCCTTCTGGTATTAGAGATGTGAGTCATCCAAGGAGGAACAAAGAAAAAAATTGAAATGACAGCCTTCCAAGTTTAATAAGATAATATTTTCATGAAAATTGCCAAACATAGACTCTACAGTGTGAAGGCATAAATAAGTTTTGTGCCACAATACACAGTTGCACACAAATATGCTTGTGGCCCTCTATAATCAGATAAACAAATGGTAGATAAAAAAAATATTTATTGAGCACCCATTGTTGAAAGATGCAGACTCCAAGACCCCTACCTGAAGCATCAGGGAGGGTGGGCAGTATAAGTGCTAGAGAAATATGTAGATAACAAAAATAATTATATTGCAGAGCAGAATAAGAACCACAAGACAGTAGGAACAATGGCTATGGAGATGTGCTTCAAATATAAACAGGATACAGAGGAGTGTACAAAATACCCTGCCCTCCAAGAGCTGAAAATATTATTGAGAAATATAGTCACTGACAAGGTCAAGACAGTGTAGCAGGCAACCACAGTCTGGCTGACTCCCTCACTGTCTTCACTCTCAGTCTTGGGCTTTTGTTCTGTCTCCTTGGATAATAATCTTCCTCCTCTTCTAAATGCCTTTCCCCCACCTCTCTGCTATCTTCCTAGGTCCAGCTTCAAGTCCTATGCCTTTAATAATCCCTTACCTAAATATACCAAAACCCTTTCACCACATTTGTTTATTAAATGTTTCATCATTCATTTAACAAATATTCCTTGGGCCCCTACTACTTGCCTGGCCCTATTCAGACATAGATGCAGAGATACAAAGACTGACAAGATAGCCTGGCCAGTGTGGGTCAGTGGTTGAGTATCAACCTATGAACCAAGAGGTCGCTGGTTTTGTTAGGTTGCATGCCCAGGTTACAGGCTGGATCCCTGGTGAGGGGTGTGCAAGAGGTATCCAATCGATGTTGATGTTTCTCTCTCATAGATGTATATATTTAGGGTTGTCAGATGTTCTTGATAAATGTACCCTTTATTAATATGAAATATACCTCTTTATCTCTGGTAATATTCCTTGTAATGAAGTCTTCTTTGTTTGATTTTAATATTTTCACACCTGTTTTCTTATGATTATTATTTGTATATAATAATATACAAATGAGTATATATTTTTCTGTCCTTTTACTTTGAACCTATTTGTAGCTTCATATTTAAATTGTTTTTCTTATAGACAGCATATGGTTGGTTCCTGATTTTTTTAGCCATTTTGAAATCTTAGCCTTTTTGTTGGAGTACCTAGAAAATTCACCTTTAAGTAAATTATTTATATGTTTAGGTTTAAATCCATTTCCTATTTGTTTTCTATTTGTACCATTTGATCTGTGTTCCTTTCTATTTTCCTGCCCTCTTTTGAATTAAATAAATATTTTTAAGGATTTCATTTATCTTATTTATTTGCTTATTAGCTATATCTTCTCTCTTTTTTGTGGTTGCTCTGGGGCTTACAGTGTGCATTTTTAACTTATCATAGTCTACCTTAAAATATTATTACACTACTAGTACTTCATGTATAATACAGCACCCTTAATGATAATGTTCTTCCATTTTCCCACTTTTCTTCCTTTGTGCTATTGTAGTCAGATATTTGACTTTTGCATATGTTATAAATTTCATGATATATTGTTACTATCTTGCATTTTTAATTTTAAAATGTTTAACTTATTTAAAATAAGAATAATAAATCCAGTACACATTAGCACAAATAACATGTTGTAGTAAAAAACAACAACAAAATACCCTCTATTTAATAAGACAAAAATTAATTTCATAAGAAAAATAACAGTGCTATACATTTGTGCACATCTGTAATATCTGGCTCATAGATGGCAGTTGAGTTCTCATACCTGTTTCTATATTCAGCGTGTTTTGATGTTGTTTTTGTTAAAGTATATGAAAAAAAATTCACCCTCACATGAATATGTAGTTGGAAAAGGTTGGAGTATTTTAATAACCTTTTCCGATAATTATGGATATTCTACATTGATACTACACAAAAATTCTACATTTGGTAGTTTCTTAGTCATTCCACTACTGTACGCTTGATAGCTTCCCAAAACGTAAGCTTTGTTCCAGTGAGATCAGTGGTGATACCAGTTAATGCTGATGGAATTTTAAACCATATTAACAAATTTTTTATATTCTTTTACATTAAAATTCACTCATCTTGTACTTTGAATCAATATATGACCCAACTTATATATATTGATTTTTTTGGAAAATATTGGTCCACTACGTTATGCAAATATTACAAATGTTGAAACATTTGATGCAATACTGAAAGAAAATCACATTAACTGGTATCACCACTGATCTCATTGGGACAAAGCTTAAGTTCTGGGAAGCTGTCAAGCTTATAGTGACAGAATGTTTTTCAAAATTTTAAATTTCACTAAAGTACATGAATATTATCTTGGCAACAAATAATGTCAGTCTTTATTCTAAGGTGATCAGGTTACTTCATTTTTGAGAAAATAATCTGCCAAGGACCCAATAGTTTTATTATTAAAACTATTAATAATAGTTTTCCAATTAGTTGTTCTTTTAAGCAAAAATGGTGTTCCAGTAAAAGTGGCTACTTAAGCCATAGCTTAATCACAGGTGTGCTATTCCTCAAGACAACCACAGTAGTACAGTTTATAACAGAAGCAACTTCTGCATACCTCCTATTTTGTCATACAATATTAAATCCAGGATCAAGAGTTAATAATTTTCAGTGCTTCCTCAAGGACATTCTTAAATAAAATTGGAGTTTTTTACTGTGAGTACATAACAGTAAAGAATAAAATAACTGCTGGTGTACTTTGGTGCTACTGCCTTAACTTGTACCATGGTGCCAGCAGTTTTACCCACCATTGCTTTTGCACCTCCATGTAAATATAAACCAACCTGCTCCAGGATAAACCATGAGATTCAAACAAGTTATTTAGCATTTTCAATATTTTAGTACTACTTGTGTTTGTTGCCAACCATTCACATGAAAAAGGTCTTCTTCAAAGATTACTTAATGCTGATACTACACGACTACAAGTAAAACAGCAAGTCCAGCCATTCGTAGCCTTGTTTGTTTGTAAAGTGAAAGTATAATTCTGAAAATGAAATAACAACTAAGCCTTCGTGTTTAGAGCTAAAGGTTTAAATAAGCAAGTTACTTTCCCATTGAAAAGAGACAGTACTGTGGGGGCGGGTAAGAGATCAACCGAAGGACTTGTATGCATGCATATAAGCATAACCAATGGACACAGACACTGGGGGGTAGGGGAGGCCGGGGGAATGTCTAGGGGGAAAAAAAAGGAGACATATGTAATACTCTTTGTAATACTTTAAGCAATAAAAAAATTAAA